CGCCCCTGCCTGGCAGCTCTCCCCAGCTCCCACAGACCCCCAGCTGGAAGCCTGCTGACCAAGGAGAACTTTTCCATTGCCACGCAGAGCCACGACCTTCCTTATTGTCTATTCCAGAGCAAAACTTGGCATCTGTGCATAAGCAGGAGGCACATTACAATGTATTTCCCCAGACCAGGAGCTTGGCCTCTCTGGAGCAGGGCTGTGGCTTTAAACATTTCCCCAAGGTTTAAAGATTCCAGGATCGATTTCTCAGCCCGGGCTCAAGGACATTGTCGGGGTTTCCCCTCCTCCTGCAGCCTGGACACCAGCAGCGCTTCTCCCCCACCGGCTGCTGGCCTGGAGTGAGCGGAGGCCTCCAGTGTTACCCCAGGTGCAGCCGGAGGGGAAGCCCTTGGGCTGGAGGTAAGCTGTCTTTCTGGTCTACAACTATTTTGTTACTGTGTCTTTTTTTTCTCCTCTCACGAATGCTCCTCTGATAGTTAAAGAATTCAGGGTCTGGACAGAGCAAGTGGGGATTCCAGGGGCCAGCCTTGCAGGCGGGAGGGCACCCGTTGTGGCTGAGGTGTCAGAGCAGGGAGGAGCCCCAGGAGCCAAGAGGGGGCTGGACCTGCTCTGGAGCCCTGGCAGCCACAGGGCTTCAGGTGGAGGACAGAAGAGGGCAGATCCACTCCGAATGCTGACTGTAGTGATGATGGGTGCGGGACGGGGTGTGGGGCTGGACGTCACTGGGCACTGCTGCCATCCTTCTCCTTTGGAGGGACAAGCCGAGGGGCCAGGGGTGAGCAGAGCTGTCAGAGGCTGCCTTTGTTTTCTGGGGCTCTGTTTGCCCCATCTTTCAGCTCTGACCTTGAGAAATTTTCTAGCTGGGTCCTTATTAAGAAAGCAAGTGTTTCCCTGGGGATGTTGCTAATTGTTCCCAGGGGTCTCTGCTGCCCACATGGGCCCTGAAGGCTTCTACTGAGATGGGTTCCAGAACTCTGACTCCCTGCTGCATCTTGGTGGCAGCCTGCAAGGGGAAGAAGGCTCCAGGTTCGGGGTGTCATGGCAATTTTACTGCCCACTAAAGGGCAGGTGAAATCTTGGTTTTATGGGGACAGGACGTAAGCCAGCTGAGAACAGGAGCACTGGGGCCTCTGAATGGCCTCACATCCTCCGAAACTGCATCCTGGCCAGCCCCGTTCTTGATATACTGAGACATGAGGGCCAGGTCCCTACTCGCAGTCTGGGCTCTCCCACACCAGCTCCCCCAGCCAGCAGGTTGGTGACTCCCAGGCAGGCGTCCCCACATGGGAGGGCAGACCTAGGAGAGGATGGTGAGGGGGCACTTTGGCAAGGGCTCTGTGCCCAGCATCACCTCCATTCCCTGATGCCTGCTCAGAGTGTCTTTGGCATGGCCCCCGCCACCTCCCAGCTGCCACCGTGGGCTGGGTTCTTTGGCCTGGTCCAGGCTTCCTGAGGCAGAGTCCAGGGCACCCAGCCCTGGGCCAGGGTCCAGGTTTCATCACAGAGGGTGACCGTGGCCATGGCTCACACTGTCCTGGGGAGGGTCTCCTAAGTTTACCTCAGATCAGATCTGCTCCCGGCCGCTCTGGAGGCCCCAGGAATGCAGAGTGAGTGCTTCAGTGTGTGGCTTTGCTCTGGATGTTTCGAGAACAACTCCAGAACTTTCTCCTGACTCCATTTGGAGAAAAATGGACTAATTGCATTTTTCAGCAGAAATGAAAAAGCTCAGGGGGCCTGTGGAGCTGGGAGGTGAGGTGGTGCTGCCCCTGCCCTTGTCCTTCCACTCCTCCACATTCCTCCTCTCCATGCACGCCAGCCTCTGGACCCCAACGTTCTATGTTGCGCCCCCTTCTCTGCACTTTCCACAGAGGGTCCTGAGTCACTATCCCCCTGCCTGGGCCCCACCTCCCACTGCTCTTTGCACATGTTTGGAATCTTTCTCCTGACCTGGTCCAGTCTGGGCGCTCCCTGCCTCTTCCTTTTCTGGGGTATGCCCCATCTTCCATCTGTACCTGGGGTGTGCCTCACTGCTTCTGGCCCCAGGATGTGTGTACATGCCACTCCCTCTGCCAGAGCACCAGCCTGCTTTGCAGAACTACTAGTCCTCATTCCCCCACCCTTGGGATTATGCCTCGCCCTGGCGAGACCCCACTCCCACTTGGCAGATTCTGCATTCACACACCCACTGGTCCCATGCTGTTCCTTTAGAGCCCTCCTCAGCATCATCGCGATTGTGCGGCCACCTTGGGTGCTGCTAAGTGCCACTTCCCACCTCCCCAAAGGGGGTCCAGAGGATGCCTGCCTCGGGCTACGGGGAAGGAGAACCCAGGCCAGGGCACATGGTGGCTCAGGTGCGGTTTATGTGCAGCTCAGGCAGAGGAGTCCCACAGAGCCTAGGGAGGGCCCACTTTCTGCAGGGCTGGGGTGAACATTCGTGCACCGAAGTTCAAAGGGGGGAAACCAAAGCTCTCCTTACTCCTTTGATCTGATGTCTCCCAATCCCTGAATAGAGCGAAAAATGCCCCTGGGCCCGTGAGAGCTGCCCAGGCTCCTCCTGCTTGAAGGTCTTTGGAGGAAGTGTCAGGTCGAGCCCAGCGCCAGACAGCTTCCACAGCTGTGACAGCGCCTGAGAGAAATATCCTAATAGGAGGAGAGGCGTACTTTGGCTTGTGCTTCTCCAGGCTTCAGTTCACAGCTCCTGGCCCTATCGCTTTGGGCCTGTGTTGAGGCTGAGCATCATGATGGGAAGCACGCATTGGGCGGAGTGGCCAGGAATCAGACGGAGCAGGAGAAGGGGGCTGGAGCCCTTCCAGGTACACCGGTGAACTTGCTCCCTGCCACGGACCCACCTTCTCCACATGTCCATGGCACCACGGCTGGCAGTCAGGCCTCTACACATGAGACTTGGGGGCCCCGACACAGGTTTGGCGCCGTCTCCTCGGGCTAGGAAACAAGATCTTCCAGGCAGTACTCCAGATCTCAGGAATTTATTTCTCTTGGTTCTGAAGCCCGGGAATGCCAGGCTCAAGGCTGGAGCCAGCCTGCTGCACGCAGCTGGGAGCTGGGCCGCACTGTCAGGCCTGTTCGCTGTGGGCATGCGGAGCCTCCTCTTGCACGTTCCAGGGCCGCCTTCGACTCACGTGGACCTCGCTCCTCTCCAGCCCCAAACAGCTGCTGGCCTCGAGCGGTCTGCTTTCCCTTTGTCCTGGCTCTCAGGCTGCTTTGTGCTCTCCCTGCCTCCACCCTCTTCTCTAGGCCAAGTTCAAGGGTCAGGCTGGAAGGAGTAAAGGGCAGCACCCCACGTGGGCAGCAGGCACTGAGTGGTGGGGACCATCTGATCTTCCCTCTTCCCAGGAGGACAGGAAGGCTGTGGGGAAGGCAGCCACACTGCGGTGCCCAGCTAGGTTTGCTGGCAGGAGCTCTGCGGCAGCCTGTGAGCTGGGCTACGGTGGCATCCATGACAGTGGCCACGGGACCCTTGTCTCACTGCCCCTGTGCCTCTCCACTCATCCACCATGCTTTGATTTTCCTCGTTAACACTCAGCTTTTCCAAAGTGTCTTCTTGCTGCAGACAGGTAGCAATTACAGTTGCTCAGATACAGATTTCTTTCTTTCTTTCTTTCTTTCTTTCTTTCTTTCTTTCTTTCTTTCTTTCTTTCTTTTTTTTTCTGTGGAACCGGGGATTGAATGCAGGCCCTTGTGCTTGCCAGGCAAGCACTTATTCTACTAAGCTATCTCTCCCCGGCCTCAGATACAGATTTCAAACATCAGGATGCAGCATTCCCAGGGCCCTGGCCTGAGGGGCCAGAGCGCTCTGGAAGGTGCAGCTGGGCCGAGTCTGTTCCCTGGAAGGGTCTGGAGCCAGTCAGCCGCCTCTGGGTTTGGTCTGCACCCAGGGAGGGGTGCAGGGCTGGTCTGTGCCTCCCATTCAGTGACGGCACAAATGGATTTAATATTCCTTTAATAAAAATGTTGGAGGGGCTGCCTGGTGCTTCTGTGCGGGGTGCTGGGCATGCGGGGGAGGGGGAGTGCGGATTCTTGGGCCAGTGCAGAGCCTAGTGGCGGAAAGCCCAAGAAGCCGGAGTCACAGTGCTCGCTCGTCAGGAGGCAGCAACTCCAGGGCTGGCTTGAGGAGGAGGAAGGCCTGGCCACCCCACGCAGGAGGCAGCTCAGGGGCTGCTCCCCACCGCACTGCGTGCGCGATGGGAGGGGGGGAGGGTCCTGAGGGACAGAGCCTCCAACTCCCCCTGGGAATTGACCTGGCCTGTGTTTCTGAGGGTTGTCTGCTGTGCGGGGAGGTGGGACACAGCCCCTATTTTGTGCTGTGGCTCTTGTGACATCTGAGGAAGCCCTGAGCCTATGGACGCCTACTCAGAATAATGGTTTTGAATGAAGAGTTAAAATACACCAGGAGCGTAGAAGCACACCTGTCTAGCAGTCCAAGGCCCCAGGCTCAACCCCAGAAATGATCCCCCCAAATTAAGCAAAAAACTGAGAACCATAAAACACAAAGGAAGCCAATGATAGTAACTAAGTGGCTGAAACAGGAGACCACACCTTGTGAGGTTGCAAGAACTGTTCTTGAGCCAGTTGTTAGACTGCATAAGAGTGAGGAGAGACGTCCATGCACGTTCAGCAACTGTTTCCCAGACGCCTTTGATCTGTGGTGAGTCTGTGGCCAGAGGGCAGATCGCAGGATATGCAGACTCACACCACGGCCAGCAGCGGCGAGGAGGGTCCCCACTCACTCTCCTGCACGCTTGCTCTTCCCCCAGCTGCAGTAATCCAGTGGGTGGTGATGGCTGCAGCGGGAGGGGCTGGAGACAGGGATGGGCAGTACGGTCACTCGCTGGTCAGGGCTGGTGTGAAGTTACAGGAAGAGGGGCGAGTGGGACGGACTTGGCTCCCACCTGTGGCCCGGGTGGGCTGCTAGGCCATTTGTGCAACCCCTGGGCCTTTGACTTCTTGCTGATGCCTCCCTGGTTGTCTTTCAGGTCAACGAAATCTACCACGACGAGTCGCTGGGGGCCCACATCAATGTCGTCCTGGTGCGCATCATCCTGCTGAGCTACGGGAAGGTGAGGGAGCGAAGCTGCTGGGTCCTGCCCGCCGGCCACCCTGAGCCGCCACCCTCAGCATGAAGGGCCCAAGGGCAGCGCAGCGCTCCAGGTCACAGGCTGCACCTGGCTTGGCCCCATGTGAGAGCGTGGGGGCCAGGACAGAGGGAATCAGGCCCTGCCATGGTCCCTGCTGAAAGGCTGAGAGGCCGGGCCAGCAGGTGGGAGAGGCGCCAGGCACAAGCCTGCACCAAGGTGTGCGGCTCCTGGCCCTAGGATTGGGGCGGGGGACGGGAGGAGGTTGGGGCTATGGAGTCTGCCTTGGTTGGTTTTATTTGAAAGACACACACAATTGATGAGTGCTAGGAAGGACAGGGATTCCAGGCTCGGTACCGAGGTCGAAGCATAGAAATTCATAGTTGACATGCCCCCTGCTGGCCGACTTCCTTCTGCCTCCTCTGCGGCCCCATGTCCTCTGCTTGCTCCACCCCTGCCTGGCCTATCTCCTCTTGCTGTGGAGTTGCTCTTCCCCAGCAGCATGCCTGGGTCCCTGGGCAAAAGCCACTAGGGACAATGACCTGCATGCAGAAAGAGAGAGATGGGAAAAAAGAGAAGCCCTGAGGTTCAGCCAGCACAGACCAGCTCTGCAAGTGTTAGCCACAGGGTGGCAGCTGCTGGGACAGCCCTGCCTACAGACAGACACTGAGCTTAACATGCTGGTGGGTGAGCACCTGTGGGTGAGCAGCCAGTGCCGCCCAGCTGCCTGCTTAGGGTTGGGGGTCTCGCTCAGGTGGCCAAATGTACACCTGCACTCTGGCTTGGTGCATAGAAAGTCCACTTGAGAAGAGCAGACACGTCTCGCGGGGATTACATGAAGGCTTAAATGCTTCTCCCTAAAGACAGAGAATCTCGATGCCAAAAACCAAAATGAAATGGCACACAACCTGCATGCACCAGGGTCAAGCAAAGGGCAGTGAAGGTTCAGGTGCAGAATGAGCCCCGTGAAAAAAAGGTCCCTCCGGCTCCTGCACCCAGAAGCCTGCCACTCGGAAGAGGCCAACAGCAGCCCCTGGAAGGACACTCGTGCTGGGTCAGTGCACGCTGAGGCAGCTCAGAGCACTCCACAGCGAGCTGCTAGAGCAGGAGAACACCTAGTGCACACCTGGCTGTGGCAGGCGCTGGTCCCCTTCACGTCCTCTCCCGGGTTACACCTTGGTGGCAGCAGACTGAGCCTGGCAAAATTGGTGGCTGTGTCATATTTCCCTCGCCATACTGCAGGGTGCACCTTCTTTTGTAGAATCACAGAACACTTAAAAGTATTCTTGCAGAGTATTTAGAATATAAAGAAAATGTCAGTGAGTTTTCTACAGCAAAAACTGATTAGGTTATATTCTCTGACTAAATGCCCCAAATCTGATGGGGAAGGGTAATGGGAGAAGAGGGATGAGTCTAAAAGCAGTCGGATCCATGGGAAAATGCTCGAAACCCTACCGCGAAGGAGAACATTGGGGCTGCGGCAGCAGACAGCTCGGAAGGCTCATAAAAGCAGCAGCGCTGCGCAGCACAACTTTTGCACTGGCAAAAATAGCCAATCTGATCCCCCACGTACAGGTGATTTTAGGATAACTTCGCAAGCCGTGAAGAACTTGGATCGCTTCCATGTTTTGGCACCTGCGCTCTGTTCTGTGCCCCAGGAAAAGGAGGCGAGAAAGGCTCTTCCACGACTGGCTTGCTTTCCCTGCCTGGCTGCTCCTATACTGGTTAAAAGGGAAAAATTCCGAAATCCTGGGGGTTCATTGTTTACTGATGTTGGCAAAGCCCTGGACCTTATTTGGCTAACGAGAGTCTGTCTCTTCCAGTCTTGGCTACTGGCAAAGGTTTCTTGATCAGCTCGTCCTTGGCAGACTGCCGAACTGTCCCTACCCCAAGCCATTCCCTTTTCCTGTCTTCATTAGGAATGTGGTCACATCAGGACTGTCCCAGGAAGTCAGGGTCTGAACATGAGGATCGCTGACAGCGAGCTGTGTCCTGGGGAAACTGAGGCTATCCTTGGCTATCCTCCAAGTTTGACCCCACTCCGTGTGGAACACGTGCTCCCTCCCTAAACTGAGATGGAAACTCAGGCTTTTTACTATTTGCAAAGTTATCACAAAATGATCCCTAAATGCTCAGGTCACCTGCTTTTACAAGGAATTGTTCATGAAGGGCAATCCAATGCCACAGAAGTGCATACAGTTCTGAGATCCTCTAAATTCTCTCTCTCTCTCTCTCTCTCTCTCTCTCTCTCTCTCTCTCTCGTTTTGAGACAGGGTCTCTCTGTGCAGTT